CTTAAAAACCTATATGTCATAGACATAAAATAAAAAGTTAAGCAGAGCTAGAGCTGTCTTTTCTCCAGAGCAGAGTAAGCTCACAGGAAAGACAATAAGCCTTAGCTCTAGACAAAAAGCTGAAAGCTTGTTTTTTCAAGTGTTTTTAGAAGCAAATTATGTATGGCTTTCTACTATATTATCATTTTTCTTAGTGCTGTTGAAAACTGACAGACATACCAGATTAGGAAGCGTACCATGTATTACAGTAAAGATCTGTGTTTCATTGGTGAGGCTGAGTTTGCAGTGTTGAACACACTAAACCTGCCCCACTGCAAGAGCAAGAGCTGCTTGCAAAATGTGCTAGAAGACTGAATCTCAGACATGGACTACAGTGCTTTCAAAATTAGTAGTGCTTTGAGAAAAGGTGCATTCGAAAACAAAACCAAGCCAAGAAATATATGAAATAATAAAATGAGAAAATGCAAATTATAAAAATTAATTTTGAACTTGTTGCTTTTAACTTTGGTATTACTTCTCCAAGGCTGCAAATTAGAGTGTTATAACTGAAGATAGGAGGAAGATTGCACATGTAAAGGTGGGTTAATTGGCCACCTATACAGACATTTATCAAACCAAAGCTTGTTGCTGGGTGTTGTGGAACTTTATCAGGCCACTTATTGTCAGTAGTAGACCATCTCAAAGGACGCGAGTGTTTTCACTATGTTGTCTTTGTTTTTGTGGGACTATCTTTCAGCTTCTCAAGCAAATGGCTGTTCTTGATAGCTGAACAATCTTATTCTTCTTCCTCTAACATTCCATCTGCTCTATTGTGCACAGATAAATTTGTTTTCAGGCTTCAAGTTGGTTATCAAAATGTCAGTTGCAAATTTTAGGCTGAGTATTCATCAGGCTAGCTTCAACACCAGTTTCCTAGTACTTCCACTTCATCCACACGTTTCTCTTCCCCTGATCTCTTGTTTCAAATCTGTGCATGATAAAAGGTCTGATTTTTGGACATCATACTTAACAAGGGCCTTGTGGTAGTGTTGGGATTCATATTTGTTAACCTCTCACCAGGGAGATAACATGACACAGTTTTAAAAACAAGTGTCTTCCTCCTAATATAATCACTTCCAGAAAGACAGACATGAGCAGTGACGTGGGCTCTGTTTTTCATTTGTGTAAATTATTTGTAGAATTGGCTGAACTTTGCCTGAAGTTGTGAGCTTTCATCCAAAATGGGAGAAATTGCATTCTCCATGCAGCTGAAGAAGGTATCTGTCAAATTCTAGATTCAGCAGCTCAAATACTCATCTTGTTTGATTGAAACCAGGGTTATAAGCTACTAATTTTAATTGCACCACCATTACCTACCCTGAGGATCAAAGTAAAATGTGTAGCTTATGTTTTGATAGAACTCAAAGAAATGTGGCCTGAAAGGTTTAGTGGGGCTGTGGATGCTGGAGAAACCTTCCTTCTTGTGAATTTAAAAGAATCAAGATGTGAATTTTTGGTAAAATCTTTTGTTAGGTAGGAAACAGAAAAGTGGGACTTGGAAATAATCACAGGTCCACAAGTACTTTATTTTAACAGACTTCAAAATGATTTTACTGTTAAAAATTATGGAACAGATCTTTCTGTTGGCTTATATTTCTTTTCTGTGTCCTGTCAAAATGGTCTGTTATTCATAACATGGTAAATCTTATTGGTGTCTCTGTTCTCTTCAAAATACAGAATCCAAAATGTGATTTCCTTGCTGAAGCACAACTCTCACTGATAAATCTTTAATTTATGAACTCTTTAATGTGGTTACTTGAGATAGGGTCAAGGCTTTATAATACTATGTGTGATTATAACACCTTTTGACAAATCCAGTGTTTTGCTTAAGAAAAAATATTCTTGGTCCAAAATTGAAGGAAATCAGATAGAATAGTTCCATTGATATCAGTCACTTGAGGTAGAGTGAAGTAGAAAGGAAAACCAAGAAGAAATATTTAAAACAACAAGTAAATTCTAAGAGTCTATTTTCATTTTTTTAACTTTAAAATATAGTGCTTCTTTGTATTAAAATACAAGTTATTATTATTATTTCTTAGCTCATCTGATGGCTGTTGAATAGAAGAAAAAGGAAGGAAAAGCCCAGGTCACAGGAAGGGTGTGTGTAGCTGTGAGAAGCTTCAGGCAGGAAATGCAGGTTTCCTGTAGCTCTGCAGTGAGCATTACTGTGGCACCTGGAGGCAGCCCTCAGTGTAGGCATCTTCCTTGGCTGCTAGGAGAAGGTCAAGATATGAACCAGTCTAATCAAGTTATTCATCTAGTGTATCGAAGCTTTCACCATTTGTAGTGTTGGCCAAGTCCTTCTGAAACAGCATCACAGAGCAGCTTTGGGTCTTTCTGTAATGACTAAATATTTAATATTTGGGATATTTTAAAAACCATCTCACATTCATTTATTTTTAGCCCAGTAAAGTGGGTGTCAAACACTAGAAGTGTCCATTAATGGAGCAAGTCTCAAATTCACTGAAGGCAGAAAGGATCCCTGAGTTTATGCTATACATTGATTCAAATTGCTGGGCTCATAAAGAAAACCAAGACAATCACATGTCCGTAACACCAGTCTGAACCTCTGACTTTCATGGTAACAGTCACACCTTTAAAATCTTATTGAAGATCATTCTAGCATTACATTGAATCTCTGCAGTGCTGCTTTGAAATATTTCTGCTAAGTGCTCTACAAGGACTGCAAGTTATCTAATGAGTTAATTAATGAATCTAATGAGTTAGTTAATGAATTAAATAGACTAGATGGTTTAATCAGAAGAAAAAGATGAGCTTTCAAATGTCATGTTCTTTCCACTGTTAGTCATATTCCAAATCACTATAAACACCAGTTGAACTTCCTGGCACTGGCTCAAGTAAAAGAAACTCAAGAATTTTTTTCACCATGGTGCTCACTGTTTATGAAACAGTTTTAGACAGGTGAGGAACAGTTCAGTGTACCCTGAGAAATTATGCAGCAAATAAATTGCATTGCCCATACCTTTTTACCTTGCTTCTTAAAAAAAAAGTCAGTGTCAGCTGGCTTAGGTGTTTGTAATTGCTATACTTTGCATAGCCATCAGTGGAAACTTTTATCAGTTGATAGTGTCTTCTGATTACTATAGGTTCACCCGCTTCCCACACAACAGATTCTTCACAGGATGTAACAGTCTAAGGGAGATTGCCCCACGACTTTCAAGATAAATAGTCTAACCAAAGCCCTTATGAGACAGGTCTCTTCGTCTTCCAGCTAAGAACTAGTTTTGGTCTTATCATTCTGGTATCTGACATTCTCCTTTCTTTTATTAGCACAAGATTTGCTAAATTATGTACTTTGATAGAGAAAATAATTACATTTTCATCGTGTAGTAAGGTTGCTTAATGCTTTGAGGATATTGAGTACTTTCAGCACTCTTGGCTGAAAGGTCAGTAACATGCATTGGCAAAAATGCTCACTGGACACCACAAAGGGCATCCTGTTTGTTCTAGGCTGGTCTAAGTCATTGGGATCAAAACAGCAAAAACACCAAGAGGGAAAAACAAATAAAGCGGAAGGGACTGGTGGGATCCTACGAAGAAACATCATGTGAAATATAAAGCAGCAAAATCCTGAGATGTTGGGATATTTCATATAAATTCTGAGGGCTCTTTGCATACTCTGATCTCTGTGCCAGAGAACAATAGGACATACTGGAGTGGGTTATAAAGTTGATTTTCTGTTGTGCAGCTGCATATGAGGGGAGCTTTGCCTATACATAGCTGGTTCTCATGCTTCCTACGAGACTGTACATAGCACATGAGAACCCAAGCCCACCCCTTCCTGCTGCTGCCCTCCTACCCACCCACCACAGATGCAGGACAGGGACGATGGTTCAGGGAGCTGACCCAACAGGGAGGGATTCTCTGCCATTTTAGCATCCAGTCTTGCCCAGCTGGAGGTAGGATGAACAGCAGTGCAGTGGGAAAGGGCACAGGACCATCGCTGCCACAGCTGGGCTCAAACTGCTGAGGGAACACAAACTGGGGAAAGTAGGTTCCAGCCTGAGTAGAAGTGTACTAGAGTGGATGTCAGCCATTTAATTGCCTCCTTTGAATCTTCTTAATGCCTTCTGACCTATTTAATGCCATACCCACTCTGCTCCTCATATAAGATACATTGGATTGATTTCTCTCTAAATGTATGATGTGATGATGTGTCCAATGGATTTTTCTCAGGATTATCAACCACTTGGCCCATAAATGCACAGCACATCTTTTGCTAGTACTTTAAGCCTGGGCTAAAGCATATATTATACCAATGGCTGAAACAGAAATGGGAAAAAACATTAATTCAAAGAATTGAATGTAATGTGTCTCCTGTAATAAACCTCACTGTAAGCAAAAGCTTGTCAGGCACATTTGGTTTTGGATTTAGCTACTATGATCTAAGAATTATTCCAGTACAGAAAGGGGTATTTATCCATCTCCTGCCCCTGATGATGTTCTCATGTCCTTCACTGCACTGGTTAGAGCTTATATGGGCTAGTATATCAGTCAGATCAGTACTGATCTGGCTAACTAGGTCTCCTGCCTTTTCTGATTTAGTGAGCTGATATAACTCATCACATGGCCTTGTAATTGTGAAGGCATTGTAAGGGAGACAATGGGAACAGATAAGTAGGGTGGGTAGGAAGGCTTTGCTGTCTTTGGTGGATGCAAATTCTGCCTGAATGATTTGCTAGATATTTCACAGAAAGACAGAGCTAACAGTGGGGCTAACCACATACCACAGTCCTTAAGTCTCTAAGTTTTGTGGAAAAAAACCCAAAACCAAAATCCCAGGAAAACTTCAAATGTGGAAAATGTTCTTATTCACAGATCACACCATCCAGTCTGTTTTCTGCTGCTGCTGCACGGTACAAAAAAGGTATGTGAAATACTTTAGCTTTTCAGCAACTAGGATAAAAATATCTACACATAAAGGACTTCTTAAAATCCCTCTATTTTCAGTAGAACTGCTAATTATACTGAAGTTTAAAGACATGCTACCCTGCCTATCCCTAATGAAGGCATCTATATCCATGAATATTTTAATGTTAATATTTATAGATACATGTTCACACAAATACTTCATGTTTTTCAAAATCAGAGCAATGAGAACAGAAATGAACCTGGACCCTGATCCTGGGCTGGTGACCCAGTATTCAGCCTCACAACCAGATGTTTCCTATGCACACACTTGGAAGTGCAGGGTAAGTATCGTTTTCATAGGTGAGAACAGAGAATTGAGGTGATGTGCCATATGGTGGCTTAGTACCTGAACAAGCGGAACAGTAGCTAACTCTTGAGCATGTAAGGTTCTTTGTTGCCTAGAAAATTATAGAGTAAAGGTGTCTGATGATTCATGCTGATGTAAACACACGGTCACAGTGATGTTTCCTATGCAAGCTGTCACAGACAAGGTGGTTCCTTCTCCCGCTTTTGGGTTTGGGTGATGGAGATGGGAAGAGTGGGATGTCCCTGTTGGGCAGATATAAGATCACCTTGCTCAGCTGGCATGTGAAACATTCACATCAGTTTTGCTAAATCTAGGTTGAATCAATCGGAATTTTCTAAGGAAAACTAAGTGCAAAGCTAGAACCTAACCTGATGCAAAAGCAAATTATGATGTTCGTGCTGATTTGATAAGAAAGTCTACAGTGCTGTCTGTATTAATTCTCCAGATAAATGGCCCGATTTCCAGACATTGTAACTCCACTAATTTCAATGCTGTTCTGCTTTTACACCAGCTGAGGAGCTGTCCCAGCATTCAGACTATGTAGAAGTCACCCAATTAGGTAGATGGTTTGTTTAGTTTATTACTAATTGTAGTTTTCATTGTCATTTTGTCTTCTACACTGAACTACTCAAGTGTAAGTCTTGCTGTTTTATGACTGACAATGTAATAGGGGAAGTAATGACCATGTGTTGTGGTTTAAACCCAGTCAGGTAACTCTTTCACTCACTCCCCCCCCTTCTTTCCCTCCCCCTACTCCCGGAGGGACAGAGAGGAGAATCGAAAAGAATGCAACTCCCACGGGTTGAGATAAGAACAGTTTAGTAACTAAGGTATAACACAGATCACTACTGCTACCACCAATAATAACAATGATAAAGGAAATAACAAGGAAGAGAATACATCACCTCACCACCAGCCAACCGATAACTCGCCCCCCCCAGCCCGACCAAGCACCAACCCATACCTCCTCCAACCTCGCAGTGAGCCAGCCCTTCTGGCTAACTCCCAGTTACATCCTGGGCATGATGTGCTGTGGTATGGAATACCTCTTTGGTCAGTTTGGGTCAGGTGTCCTGTCTCTGCTTCCTCCCAGCTTCCCCTCCTCCCTGGCAGAGCGTGAGGCTCACAAAGTCTTTGGCCAAACCAAAACATCATTGTTATCAGCTCTGTTCCCGAGCTGAAAGTCAAAACACAGCACTGCACCAGCTACAAAGAAGGAGAAAAATGACTGCTTCTGCTGAACCCAGGACACCATGATGAGTTCCTTTTAGTTACTGAAACAGTATAGTAGCAGGGAAATTAAGCAAGCAATAGTTGGGAGAAAAGAATAATTAAGAAAGACACTTCTCTTTTACTAGTGTAAGAGGCAGTTGAAGTTAAAGAACAAGCCCTTACCTCCTCTACCTGCTGAGGCCTTGGAAGACTACACAGAAAAACCCAGGGTTACTGCACTCTATGACTTTTTTGCTAGAGGACCCTCAGATTTGCCGCTCAAGAAGTCAGAAGAATACATTATCCTCCAACAGGATGACCCCCACTGGTGGAAAGCAAGGGACAAACATGGGTAAGAGAGTGAGCATCTGTTTCAATCTCCCTATCTCCCAGTCTGTGGAAGCAGACAGATAGAGTGAGACGTGACAATTTAGAGGCAGGTTTGAACATGTTTGGCTATGTCTGAGGCACATGGATTGACCAGACAGACTTTCAGCTATGTCTGGTGCCCCAGAAATGGCCAGGGAATCTAGAATCTGTTGGGAATTCAGAGTTAAGTCCTAGGCTCAGTAATTTCCTGAGCAACATAGGGGCATTTGAAGACCATGTGAATCACTGGGCTCTGGGCCACATGCAAATCCAGCTTTTCGTACTTCAAGTGCTTTACAGTGCAATGTATGTAAACACTTCTTAAAGACCACAGAGATTACTAAAATATGTGCCTGAAACAAAATCCCTGATCTGAAATTCCTGGATGCTTTAGAGAGCTAGATAAACATGGAAAGGATCTTAACTGAAGTTATGTTTGTTTTGTCATTCCCCTTTCTCTTTTGCGTTTTCTTCAGTGTATCCTGAACTATGATGTTGGGAATACTACTCTCAGAACCCATCCCAGGTGATCTTTTTCCTTTCAGTAGCCTTCCACAGTTGCAGGGCAGAAAGTTTGTGCCTAGGATGAAAAGACTCTGACTTCAATTTCCATGTTGGGATTCTGTATCTGGCAGCATAGCCAGTATCATAAGGAACTTTTGTAATTTAACAAAAGGAAAATGCATATCTTAATCCTATTAATGTTTTACACCATACTGTAACATTATGCCCAATATCTTGTTTCAGGAATGAAGGTCTAGTTCCCAGCAACTATGTTACTGAGAACAAGAAAAGTAATTTAGAAACATATGAGTGAGTATCCTTGAAAGTTATGTTTGTGCTTTCTTTTCTAAAAATGGATTGCATCAATACATTTTAGTGCTTGATCCTGCAATCTTTATTAGACATGATCGGGTGTGTATCAACAGCTTTTTTTGTTACAAAACATTACTTTTGGAATGAAGTAACAATTTTGATTTGGAACTATTTCCTCGGAGAATGAAATCTGAAGTTACAAACACGGAGCACTTCAGCAGCATTCCTTTTCATAAATCATGTCAGAATACAGATGTTTCCTATTCCTGTAGGCTTGCTATGTAATGTTTCTATATTCTGATCTCTTTCTGTTGTGAACATGTAATCAATTGACTAGAAGATAATTCCAGTTACTTCTACCTAATTTACTAGAGAGAAAAATAAAATTCTGCAAAATTCTAAAGAAGAGAGGCTTGATGCAGCGTCCAGGACTGCAAATTTCATCACAGATTGGCGTAACTCTTTCCTGGGCTTTCTTTTGTTTGAGCTCATATTTAACCACAGTGAATGGAGGAAAAAAGTTGTCACACTTACAGTGGTCTAATAAAGTCATTCCCAATTAAGAGATGTTTATATACAAGAGTGGTTCTGTTCAGGTTTCTGGACTGGGCTATTAAGATGGATTACTTTTGTGAAACAGAGCAAACATTAATTTCTACTGGCTGAGATTATCTTCTTGTTGCAGGTGGTACTGCAAAAACATAAATAGAAGCCAGGCAGAACTTCTTTTGCGCCAGAAGGTAACTCAGCTTAACCATAGGACTAATGATATCTAGAAAGATCTATCAGTGGAAGCATCAAGAGTGTTACCACAGTCAGATCCAAATCTGCTTGGGGTGCAGTAAGACAGAAAGTACTTTAAAATAAAAAGGCTTTCTGGGTTAAGCATATGGTGCAGATTACCCAGACTTCACAGAGCTTTAAGTTGTAGCCCCAGCAAATTCTGTGTAGATTGTCCATACTACATAAATTGAATTACATACAGTTTACTGTGCTTGTCTTTTGTATGAAAGATTGAAGACTGAAATCCATGTAGGAAGTAAATTACTGAGGTTAGCAGAGCTTAAAAAAAAAACCCTTGTGTTTTTCTTACGTATAGAGCAAACAATCCATATTGCCTTCTACCACCTATCAGTTACCAAAGTGCCTAACTAGTTAAACTTTGCTCAAGGACTAACACAGGGCTTGGACAAGGCAGACAAGAGAAGAACATCTCAGATAGAATTGTTTTTTACAATATTTTTTATAGTGATTTGTACAATTTGATTTATTTAATAAATCAAAATATTTTCACTGCTTCACACTGAAAAGTATAATTCACCTAAATTATTTAATCATTCACCTAAATTCAATAAGTATTTAATTGCCTGGCACTCACTATTTTCCTTTGGATAATTTTGTTCTGCTATGTACCTGCTGTGTACAATTCCCATTGTCCACTGCTTTATTCCCCTCCCAAACAGTCATAGGTATTCCACAGAATTTGGTAATGAACTGCAAGTCCTATCTGAAGGGAGGATTGTTCAAGCTCAAAAGTAGAAAAATAACTCTACTTGGATTTCTTTTCAGTCCAAAGAAGGTGCGTTTGTTGTCAGAGATTCAAGCCAACAGGGGCTTCTTACACTGTCCATGTATTCACGGCCTAAAGGGTGAGTTTCTCTGAACAGTTAGAATTTGAATCAAGAGGTGATGGAAGAGCTTCCCCCAAACTTGTCAGGATAAGTGAACAGGTTAGACATGCAGTGCACAGCAGCAGGGAACCACTGGGGTGCTGTTCAAGCAGAGCTAATTACCTTGTGTGCAGAAGAGATGACAGTGGGCAGTGGGTCTGGGAGTCAGGGTGCAAACGTCTTGCTAAGACAAGATTAACTGCACTCATGAAATCTTCAAATAATCTGCTATGAAAGTTGTGCACCCCAACCACATAATACAGGCAGTAAGACCTTACGTTTGCATCTTCCTGCCTTTCTTTCTACACGAAGCACCATGAATGCCACACCTCACTGCCACAGCCTTCAGCCACTGCACTGAAATGCTTCTGTTCTCTGCAGGCTCTGTGCGCTGTAAATTCATCTCGGATTCTGGTGTCCCCAAACTTTGGTGTTTTTTTTCCTAAAATCATCTCACCTCCTCACTGTGCAGTCTTGCTTCTTTTGCCAGAGGACTGCCAAAAGACTGGAGAAAAAATAGTAATTTAGATGTATATATGAATATGTTTTTAACTTCTGGGGGAAAACTTGGGTAGTGAGCCTATTAATTTGAAAAACTTAGATTCAAATAAGTGCTGAATCAGGAGGAACACTATGGCTATTTCTTGTGGATGCAACGATACAAGGATAAATCATTGTGCAATATCTCACAAGGGTGGGAGAGAGATCATTCAAGGACGCTTTGGTTTGTTTTTTTTTTCCTGAAGCAGTGTCCCAGCAGCCCACAGCCATTTTTAAGTCAGGAATTCTGCTCCAAGTTTTCAGATTTTTCTGTGCTTTCTTTCAAAGTGAAATTTAATCAGATTTATAGTATAAACTGTTTTTACTGAAAAATACGATCCTTTGTTGATTTCAGAAGTCATAGCGAAGATATTCGACATTATCAAATTAAGAAAAACCACTTGGGACAATATTATGTAGCTGAAAAATATCTCTTTTCATCTGTTCCTGAACTCATCGAGTATCATCAACACAATGCTGCAGGTAATGCATGCGAGATGATAAGGTTTTACAACTGACTATTTGAAGCTCCTCGGGACTTTGGGAGATTGGCAATCACTCTTCTATGACACTTTCCTTATAAAAAGATACACAAGTTTTTCTGTTGCTAACAAATTTTAATATGCCATGATCCTTTCTGCCAAAGTCATAGCTGTGGTGTGCATATACCATGGGGAAAGTGACGTTAACAAACTCATCTATGTGTATTAAATGAATGTTACAAAGCTAGAAGCCTAATCCATTTACCTGCTCTGTATTCTCTTGGTTCATATTTGACTGAGTGGGGCTTGTCTGAAATTCCATCATAATTCTTTCTTTGTCACAAGAACTTGCATGTATGCAAGCAGGAGTTACGCTGTGCATTAGCAGTCAGCATTCTACTGATTTAGGCAAAAAAGCCGACCCCACCCCACATAATCCAAAGCAGAATTAGGGAACACAAGGACTCTAATACTGCTTTGCAGCCTACCACAGTTACCATCTCTGATTTTTGACTGATGGCAGCCTTTGAACATTTTTAGCATTAAAAAATATGCTTCATCTTGGTTCTGCCCATTTTTTTAATACAATATAAAATGTTTTTACCCTAAATGAGTGGAGATGGCAAAATACACAGAGATTCCTTGCACTAGCACAGAAGGAAGATATTTGAATAGACACTGTTTTGCTGGATGGAGGAGGATTGTAGGAAACACATGAAGCAGAAAAGGACCTGAAAGTAGCACTGGAAAGAATGAATGAATGAATGAATGTAGGGAGTCCCTGGTGAGGGATGCAGTAACTGGTACTGTTGGTTCATTAATTCAAAGAAAATGAATGACAGACATGAAAATATGTCTGGCAATGGGAAACAATCCTGAGAAATTTTGCTAGAAGAGACCACTTAGGCGGCTGATATAGTATTTCCGTACTTATTTATCTAAGATCACTAGTATCGTGCAAAGAAGCAAGAGTATTGGTTTTTGTTGTATGAAGGGATAGATACTTTTGTAGTCAGGATCCTATTGATTAGTCTTCCTTTATTTCTTCTCGCTGTGGTTTTTATCCAAACAAGCTGTAAGCAAAAGTAACCTCAAGAAATGTACCTCAGATTCCAAATATTTTTGTTTGGGAAGAGATACAATATAGTGTACCTTAAAATGGAGTAGTTGTTCAACAGAATATTGTTGCTTTGTCCCCTACAGGTCTTATCACTCGTCTCCGACATCCAGTAGGATCAGCTGGATACTCTTCACCAGCAGCAGCAGGGTGGAATTATGGTAAATATTTTATCTTCTTTTGGTGGAGATTTAGGTATTTGCCTAGGCAAGAATTTAGATTGCTTTAGAGTCACCTAGCTAATAATTAAGTCATATCTGTGAAATTTCCTGGTAACAAGAAACACACAAAGAGCTGCGTATTCACCAGAAACAGACACTCATTTCCTCTTAAAGTGTCAGTACCAAATGAGACGCCTGAAATGAGTAGTCCTGTTTGGCAGCTGTTGTGCTTCTGTTACAACCACCAGTGAATTTCAGAGCCATCTGGACTTTTCTAAGCAGACATAAAACTCAAATATACATTTAGTAGCTTTTCAAAGGCTATTTGATTTATTTAAATGCTTAGGAAATTTAAATCCATATTACTTATGGGAAGATTTTTCTGTGTAAGCTCTGCAAGTTTTAGAAATAAGAATGAATTCTTATATAAAGTTATAAAAACCAAGCAATGAATGCCAGTTTTGTGTATATAGATCAGGAATTTCATACCATCTGACTGATAATAGGAACCTCCAAAACTGAGTACCTTTCATGTTCCCATAAATCTCAAGGCTTAATATTTCTGAAGGGTGAAACTATTGTGGTTATTACAATACAGGCAGTCAATAACCGCTTCTGTGGCTGTAAAGTAATGTTCATATATAAACATATATGAGCATGTGGAAGTTTTCAGATATTTAAAACTCACGCTATAGCTGAGGAACAATTGTGATTTTTATTTTTTTTTTTTGTGTGTGTGCACTAACTGTAAATAGCAAGGGCATGGTTCAGGAAAGATGGCCTGATTATTGTAACATATTGCGTTGCTTTTATAGATGAGTGGGAATTAAACCCATCTGAACTGAAGTTCATGAAAGAACTTGGGCGTGGGCAGTTTGGAGTTGTTCAGCTTGGTAAATGGAAAGCAACCATCAAGGTTGCCATCAAGACAATCAATGAAGGAGCAATGTCTGAAGACGATTTTATCGAGGAGGCCAAAGTGATGATGTGAGTAGAAAAGCTATTATATCTGGTAGTTGGCATCAAGATGACCAATAATGGTGGATGTGCAGGTGTTGTGATTTATGCCCACCTGGCAACCAAGCCCCATACAGCTGTTTGCTCACTTCCCCACCCTAGTGGGATGGGGGGGAGAACCAGAAGAGTAAAAGAGAAAACCCATGTGTTGAGGTAAAGACAGTTAAGTAGGGAAAGCAAAAGCCACACATACAAGCAAAGCAGAACAAGGAATTAATTCACCACTTCCCATTAGCAGGCAGGTGCTCAGCCATGTCAAGGACAGCAGAGCTCCATCAAATGTAGTGGTTACTTGGGAAGACAAACACCATCACTCTGAATGTGTCCCCCTACTTCCTTCTTATTCCCCCAGCTTTATATGCTGAGCATGATGCCATATGATATGGAATATCCCTTTGATCAGTTGGGGTCAACTGTCCTGGCTGTGTCCCCTTCCAACTCCTCGTGCACCCCCATCCAACTCTCTGTATGGTGGTATGAGGAGCATAAAAGGCCTTGACTCTGTGTAAGCACTGCTTAGCAGTAACTGAAACATCCCTGTGTTATCAACAGTTTCCAGCACAAATTAAAAACATAGCCCCATACCAGCTACTATGAAGAAAATTAACTCCATCTCAGCCAAAACCAGCACAGCAGGACAGAAAGGCTGATATAAAGGTCTGAATCATACTGATGCAGATGTTTACTGTGCCCATTGCCAAACTCTTTCATTAGAGCGTGCACTGCGTTGTGCTGTGGAGCTCAATGGGGAGCGAACGTAATGGCAAATAAATGTGATTCTAAAACTATTCTTTCATCCATAATTCAGTGCTTCTAGGACCACTGGCAGAGCTCAAACCTAACTAGAGCTTTTGAGAAACTACATTACCATTTCTCCTAATTTTGCGAATTAGGGAAGTATTCAGATCAGGTCTTGGCCCAGCCTGGAAGGGAGCCACCATTGCAGTGTCATGTCCCCTGCCTGGAAGCCAGGCGTAACTAGACCTTTCTATTTCATACAGTGCAAATCGAGCTTTGCATTCACTGCATTTATGAGCTAATGAACCATTATGAACTAAAAGAATTAACTTTTTGTAGGAAATTGTAGGCAGGCTTGTTAGATAGTGGGACAACTCTGAGGGCAGTTGAACTGAATACTGTTTATCAAGCACTGCAAGTAGTTTTCAGAACCATCATGAAAATCAAAGGTCTAGTTACCTGCCAAGGACAAATGCTAGCCTGTCTAAAATTCAATCTTAAACAGGAAACTCTCCCACCCAAAGCTGGTCCCGCTTTACGGAGTGTGCACACATCGCAAGCCTCTCTATGTTGTGACTGAATTCCTGGAAAACGGCTGCCTGCTCAATTACCTTCGGCAAAGACAAGGGAAACTCGGCAGAGACATGCTGCTGAACATGTGCTGGGATGTGTGCGAAGGGATGGAATACCTGGAAAGAAACAGTTTTATTCACCGTGATTTAGTAAGCACAAAAGGCTTTCTGAGGTTCTTGACAAATACTGGCAGTACAGAATGTGGCACTGCATTTTATGGGACTGTCCTGGGTTCAGCAGTAGCAGTCATGTTTCTCCTCCTTGGTAGCTGGTGCAGTGCAGTGTTTTGACTTTCAGCTCGGGAAGAGAGCTGATAGAGATGTTTTGGTTTGGCCAAGGACTTTGTGAGCCTCATGCTCTGACAGGGAGGAGGGGAAGCCAGGAGGAAGCAGAGACAGGACACCTGACCCAAACTGACCAAAGAGCTATTCCATACCACAGCACGTCATGCCCAGGATGTAACTGGGAGTTAGCCGGAAGGGCTGGGAGACTGCGGGGTTGGAGGAGGTATCGGTCGGAGCTTGGTCGGGCTTGGGGGGGCGAGTTATCGGTCAGCTGGTGCTGAGGTGTTGTATTCTCTTCCCTTGTTATTTCCTTTATCATTATTATCATTGGTGGTAGCAGTAGTGATTTGTGTTATACCTTAGTTACTAAACTGTTCTTATCTCAACCCGTGGGAGTTGCATTCTTTTGATTCTCCTCTCCGTCCCTCCGAGAGCGGGGGGAGGGCAAGAAAGGGGGGGAAGTGAGCGAACGAATTACCTGACTGGGTTTAAACCACGACAGGGACACTGATGTGTCCTCTAAGACTTCAGCCCTGCAAGATCTAACAATCTAGTGGTGTTTTCCTGGCTAACCAAAGCCTTTCAGCTGTTCTTTTGATCATGGACAGCTGGAAGAAAAACTACTTGAGAGGTCAGAGAAAGTTGGGATAATAGCATGGAGCAGGCTGGTGTTAAGACATCCCAGTACAAGGGTATTATGCAGTGATCACAACACAACCAAAATCTCAGCAGTACAAAGGGTCAGCAACAAGGAGGATTTTTCTCTTTTAACAAAATCTTTTTCTATCTACGTTTTTTTTTTTTTTTCCCTGCTCCCTCACTGGAATATATAGGTGGCTTTTCTATCTTACCACTCATAGAGAGGGAATCATAAGATAGGAGCCTGTTTCTTTACTCTGCTTTCTTTTCAATGCTCTCATTTGGATGCAGAGTGGAAATCTTCCTGTGCTCCTCTCTAGCTGCTTAAAGAAATACAAAATCTTGAATATTTCCAAGGAGTTCCTAATTTCTGTATTGAAAAAGTCACAAAGCAGGTTTTTAAACGTTCACATTGAGTGTCCTAATGCTTAGGAAAATACCACCTTGGATAACTAGGCTCTGCACTCTAAAATTTCTTTTATTTTGCAGAAACATTGCAACTCGTACTGCAAGTGCTTAAGCAGATTATATGCTATTGTACGTGTAACTACATGGTAGTGAAATATGTTCATTGGCTCAGATAGACATTCACTTGTATTTTGGAGCAAGACACTCTTCAGAATATAAACAGCATAATCTGAAACAAAATTAGTCAGCTGATGCGTTTCTCTTAAAATGCTTTAGCACAGATTTCAGATATATTTCTCTCATTTTCCCTAGGCTGCAAGAAACTGTTTAGTCAGCGCGGAGCACATCGTTAAAGTATCTGACTTCGGCATGGCGAGGTATGAGGTCATTAATGCAGGTTTCGTGCGTACCTATTCTCAGTCAGCTGCTTGCTTTGCTGATTTGGGGAATCCCACTGTGGTCAATTTTTGAATTCTGATGAAAATTATAATGCTGTTAAGCTGTTGTACTGTGAACCCAATGTAGTGTCTTCCTCTTGCTACTGCTGAGTTTAAGACTAGTAAACAAAGTGCCAGGTAAACTTCAGAAGCATTTATGGACAGAGAAATGCCCATGGTGCACAGGGCTGTCAGAAACAGGTTTTCCAACTCTTCTTAGCACTGGGGAAGACAAAAGGTCCCTAGGGACAGATCTGAGCGCTGGTGCTGACCTTTAGATGCTGCCATGTTGAGTAGGTCAGGCAGGAGCAGCAGGGCAGGCAGGAAGTGTGATATGTGCTGCTCTAGCAGGGAAGTGGTTTTTCTGCTTCATGAGAGGACCAGCCAAAATGGGGAAAGAAAGCACGATGAACTCTTACAAGCACAGGATAGAGTAACTCAGCTCTGCCCTCACAGGCTTCCCTTACAGCATGTGCTATATTTTATAGCTGAGCTGATGAGTGAATGACTGCTACCCAAAGAGGTTGTCCCATTCCTTCCTTCTTTCCCTTTGCAAGCCCGGCACAAAGCTCTCCACTTCTGTGTTTTACTGGTTGTTTTTTTTGTTCCGGATTAGTAGACTGAACTGGCTCACTTTGGAGGCAGATGAGCTTGAAAGGCAGTGGGTGGGTCTGAGCAGGATGGGACATTCACTTTGTGCTGCTTACCTGCCTCTTTGCTTGGTTTTGCCTCCTATTTCTAACCTCAGGTTACAACACCCTAGCAGTTCATAACTAAATACCTGTTTTTCAAAAGGCTGTTCTATGTATGAAGACAGGCTGAGGAAGTTGGGGCAGTTCAGCCTGGAGAAGAGAAGGCTGCGTGAAGACCTCATAGCAGCCTTCCAGTATCTGAAGGGGGCCTATAGGGATGCTGGAAAGGGACTATTCATTAGAGACTGTAGTGATAGTACAAGGGGTAACAGGTTAAAACTTAAACAGGGGAAGTTTAGGTTGGATATAAGAAGGAAATTCTTTCCTGTTAGGGTGGTGAGGCACTGGAATAGGTTGCCCAGGGAGGTTGTGAATGCTCCATCCCTGGCAGTGTTCAAGACCAGGCTGGACGAAGCCTTGGGTGATATGATTTAGCGTAAGATGTCCCTGCCCACGGCAGGGGGGTTGGAACTAGATGATCTTAAGTTCCTTTCCAACCCTAACTATTCTATGATTCTATACTGTGGCAGTGCCCACTGGTTGCACTGCCCCTCAAAAGAGTAAGGTCAGAATCAAGGGTCTGGGCTCATCCAAATGCATCAGAAAATGCAGCAAGAGACCAAGGGGTCTGTCAAGGTCCAGTCTGAGAATAATGGACTGCAATGGCTCACTGCTGCCAAAAAGTGGAAACCAGTGGTGTGTGTGGCTCTAGGACAGGCACTCACTCTCCTTGGAAGACCATTGAGAGGTGACAGGAATACAAATTATTCAGAGCTCACACAGCTGCCACTATTGGTTATTTTGTAGCGTTATTTCATATGTTTATTATCCAATAACCTCTCATCTTTCTCCGCCTGCACCAAAATAAAAACAGGGAAATAAAGATATGATTTCTGTCAGTGTGACCTCCTTTAAAAAGGGCTTTAAAAGACAGCATGCATTCTGTCTTCCATGAGAACAAATATGTAGTGCACATCTGCTCTCTGCTCAGGAACATTAATAGTGGAAAGCTATGCATAATAGCCTTTTAAAATGCTGCCCTATAAATGCGTGCATTAGGCACATCTGATCTGGGAGGTCAGTTCCTATAAGCCTGTGCGAACAGTCTTAGAACCCTAAAAGTATCCAATGTTGGGGAGTCCACTACTTCCTTGGGGAGGTTATTCCAATGGCTGATTGTTCTCATTTTGGGCACCAGGAACAAAAGGGGTCCAGGGCAAAGGAAAATACTTTTACAATGCACCAGAGCTGTTGGCTTGTGTGTCATGAGTGTTTCTTTCTGTGATGCTTCTGTAACAATATGCCAGGTATTGTATCTGTGAAGTTTGTCAGTCATGAAGCGTGGTCCTCTATCAGTGCTGTTTGGGTGCAACAAGTAGTGTTACAGTGATACCATTTACTTGATTCTAAATTGACACTGTCACTGGAACTGCTTGCACTTTAACTATCATTCAACTATATGCTGTCTCCTGTTATTCTTTAGGTATGTCATCGATGATGAATACATCAGCTCTTCGGGGGCCAAGTTTCCAGTCAAATGGTCATCTCCTGAAGTTTTTCATTTCAAAAAATATAGCAGCAAATCAGATGTCTGGTCATTTGGTAAGTTGATTAGGTGAACATACCATGCTTCCCTAAAACTACTGATGTGATTTATGAAAGTGTAACTTCTTACTCATGCTTCCTACCTTAAGCTTTAGTTATTCCTATTTTTCAAGTCTTGTCTATATTGTACAAGTATCTTTCTCAATAGAAAAATTCTATGTCTAAAAGTTAGATTTTGACTGAAATGTGCATTCTTGGTAAGTCTCCATTAGGGAAATATGTATTCATCTGTTTCATGGGCCACCCTCATCTGACTTAAAAGAGAGCAGAATTATATTAGTTGAAAATGGTTTTGATTGCTCTTGCAATTTAGTTCAGGTTGGTGATATTTTCATGCATTTTCAATACACAAAAAATCACGAGTGGTTTTTGTTCTTCTAGTGGTGTTAAATAGCTTGTGGGTTTGGGGTTTCTGTTTTGTCTTAAATACTTTGGTTCACTTACAGGTGTACTGATGTGGGAAGTTTTCACAGAAGGCAAAATGCCTTTTGAAAGTAAGTCAAATTCTGAAGTTGTTCGTGAGATTTCTCAGGGTCACCGACTTTATCGACCACATTTGGCATCACTTGCTGTGTACAGAGTCATGTACAGCTGCTGGCATGAGGTTTGTTGCCCTTTTTTCCTGTGGTATTACTTTATTATTAATTTGTGATGTGGATCTAAAAGCAATCTTAAAAAAAATGGGGCATTAAATCCTTATTTCACATCTGTGGCATCCTCAGTATCTCTTACTATGTTTTCACAAATCACACCTAGGCTTACAAGCCTCTGTTTCTTTGACTGTTGCACCTAAGAGACATAAAGCATGTCATCAGTACAATTGGTCTAGACCATCCCTCGTTTTGAATATGCCACTATCGTCTTGCTTCTCTGCTGCATCAAAGTTAATACCTTTTCCACATCTCTATCATACTTTGCTTTTTCTAGCTCTGCTATGAACGATAACTTTAATACATTAATATACAAAGTAAGCATGCCCACTAAATGTGGATTTTAAACCCCATTTTTCACGTGTACGTAAGTACCTCTGTACATCACTACAGCTCCCAGGCTGTGTCTCCTTCACCCTCTCCACTCTGAGTTAGTATTTGATGCTCTTTCCCCATTTCAGAGCATTTCAGAGATTCAGAGCAGCCCTGCAGAGAAGGACTTGGGAGTGTTGGTTGATGAGAAAATGAACATGAGCTGGCTTCTGTGGGCGCTTGCAGCCCAGAAAGCCAACCGTATCCTGGGCTGCATTAAAAGGACTGTGACCAGCAGGTTGAAGGAGGTGATCCTGCCCCTCTACTCTGCTCTTGTGAGACCTCACCTGAAGTATTGTGTGCAGTTCTGGTGTCCTCAACATAAAAAGGTCATGAAACTGTTGGAACAAGTCCAGAGGAGGGCCACGAGGATGATCAGGGGACTGGAGCACCTCCCGTATGAAGATAGGCTGAGAAAGTTTGGGTTGTTCAGCCTGGAGAAGAGAAGGCTGCGTGGAGACCTCATAGCAGCCTTCCAGTATCTGAAGGGGGGCTATAGGGATGCTGGAGAGGGACTCTTCATTAGGGACTGTAGTGATAGGACAAGGGGTGATGGGTTAAAACTTAAACAGGGGAAGTTTAGATTGGATATAAGGAAGAAGTTCTTTACTGTAAGGGTGATGAGGCACTGGAATGGGTTGCCCAGGGAGGTTGTGAATGCTCCATCCCTGGTGGTGTTCAAGGCCAGGTTGGACAAAGCCTTGGGTGGCATGGTTTAGTGTGAGGTGTCCTTGCCCATGGCAGGGGGGTTGGAACTAGATGATCTTAAGGTCCTTTCCAACCCTAACTATTCTGTGATTCTATGATTCTTCAGCACCTATTTCTTTCTATATTGGTATCAAAACACTGATCTCATCAACTCCACCACCAGAGTAATCCCCTAAGGTCCCTCCTTCTGTAGTGTCTACAGGAAATATATCTTCAATTTTAAATTGCTTTGTGTGCAATGCTTTCATGTAAACAGGCAGGCATACACTTAGAGTAGCCAAGGAACCTTGTTGCTGCCGTTGTCTCCTTTGTCCTATCTCTCCTTACTTGCCCATCTTTTAACTCTATATAAAATCTGTGGATCCTGACTAAAAAAAGCTTAAGAGGCTGAAATCTAAACTGCATCTAGCTTGCTTGCATACTGTAAACATCTGCCAGGATGCCAGCCAGCAGAGGATTGGGAAGAAGTTCTCTCTTCTCTCTGTCATTAGCCAGTTCTTTGTTCCATATCGAGCTTCAGTACATCAAATGAGAAAGCAGGGAAGTTCCTTTTGCAACAACCCAGAGAACATTCCTGAGTATCATGGTTTCCTGAGAGGTAGGGCTTTCCAGTGATCTGTTGCAGGAGAGAAATCCTATAGGAATTCTGGTCCAGAATTGGAATAAATAAATTTTAGGAATACTTGGAAAATTGACGGCGCTCATGGCACTGGTGTCATGAAGGACAGATGATTTTTTTTTTTTCCCCTCAAATCATAAACTTGATCTTCTTTATTAATAAATTTAATGTAATTTTAAAGTGGTAGCTCATATGCACTTGTAACCATTTTCTAAAGTCTGATACTTTAATTAACTAATCTCCTAATACAAGTTTATCCTCTGCTTTTCTTTTCAGAAACCTGAAGGACGTCCTCCTTTTGCAGAGTTAAAAGAGACCCTCACAGATATAAGACAGATGAGATAATCAGATTTTCACCCATATATTTCTGAAAGGTTAGCATCAAGCATGTCAGTAATGTATCTGGTACAGAAAACATCAGCCTTTTACAGCAATCTCTACTTAAGTCATCAGCATCCTATATACTGAAGTAGCTGTTTGGGCTTGGCCTTAATTTTTACTCATTTGAGAGATACCTCAGGAGACTGGTTCAGGACTCTCAAGGCTTTGTTTTCATGATCAGGGAGAAAAACTTCATGTCTGAAAGAAGTAACCAAGCTTACTCACCTTATAGGCCTTTTTATTTATTCCTTTGGTCAGAGCTACACTAATTCCTATAACAACATTATTAAATTGATACTTAATATGACTCCTGTACTAGGGAATACTGATTGGCAGCAGAAAAAGGGATGGAAGAAACTTTGATAAAGCTCTAGCTAGGTCATGGTTAAAGGCAAGCCCTTTTATGCTGCCAAGCATCCAGCACTGAAGAAATGGAGCAGTGTTTCAGAAGGGGCAGCAAGCTAACTGACCAAATGCCAGAGCAGCATCCATTTGTGTGCCCACAACCACTGCTGCACATAAAGGCAGACAAAGGGAAAAAAGGAAGCAGTCATCATTTAGCAGCTCCCACATCACATCTGAGCAGCTGGAAAGACAGAGCATCAAGGAAGCATTTCAAGGTGTCTTCTCTACCAATCTGTGTAAAAGGAGGAGAGTAAGGATTATTTTATCCAAATCTTTCCCACAGTTTTCCAGTATTGTCTCCCATTCCTTTCCTGCTGCTGCCTACTCGCATGCCCGTACTTGCCTTAGTCCTTCCCTTGTAAGTGCCCAGAATGGTTAATGGGCAATTTAAAGCTGGAATCTGATCGTAAAATGCTTTGAATTAGCCTAGACCAGATGGGTTCTGTGATACTGGACATGGACAGTGTCTGTAACCCTATTTCTTATGTTATTAAGAAATTCACTTTTAATTTTAAATCTTAATTGTGGTCAATAGAAATATAGAGAAGAAAAGGCAGATGAAGTCCATAATTGTTTACAATAAAATAGATCATTACAAATAAATAGGTTCTTCAAAATATGTGCTTGAATTTTGAATTATTTATAGATAAATACATCATATTTAGTTTTATAGAACTCTGTAGGCAAAATATGTAAAACACTAGCTAAAAAATGACTGAGTTCTGCACCTTTCATTTTTCATGTTCAAATTTTTAAAAATAACTGTAGCAAAATTAAATATATCAAACATCCAATGTTTTGAATTTCCAGAAGATGATGGAAGCATTTCTTGGTCAAACTCACTCCTGCCATTAATCATTCATCTTTACTGCAATAATATTTTGACAGTTATCATCCCTTGGGAAAGGAAGTTGTTAATCCTATTGTTTGAACAGTTGGGAGAACCTTCAAACACACTTCCAAAGCATTTCTAGTTTGAGTGAAGCATGATATCCCTATTGTTTCATATAAACTGATACAAGAATTGCCACCAACTGATGTCACTGTTTACTCTTATAATAGACTTATTTATGACCATTCAATTCCTTATCAGACCTATGACTAAATACAGATCTATACAACACAGTACAAACAACAGGCTCACCACAATTTATGCCCAGGCCGCAGAAGTACAAGGCTTTTCAGCAGGTGATACACTACAACTGCGAAATTCAAACTGTCTCTGCAATATAAAAGTACATGGGGAATTTGAATAACGTATGAGGCATCTTTTTTAATAGCTCTTGTATAACTGGTTTTGCCACATTTTTTGCTACAAGTTAATATGTAATACACTACAATACTTTGCAGTAAAAAGCAGCTCCATTAGGTTTATGTACTCAAAGCACCCCTCTCATGCTCATTTTGTTGAGTTGCCCCATGGTGAATATGCATCCATCCTTGAAATGTTTTGGTCTAATACACAGAGCCAATGATGCTTGCCTGTCAGACTTCAGCTTCTCAATATAACCTTTCTATAGGCTGCTTTGGGAAAATTATAAGTAGTCTGTTATTAACACTGTGACGCAGATAAATTTAACAGATGCTATCATCAGGCTGATCATAAATAAGTGAAAAAATCACTGGAAAACGCTTGAGTCAGTGAAACCAGTGCTTAACCTGCTTAATCAGCAACAAGAAAGGTCTACAGAGCAAAGGTCAGGTATCTACACAGTATTTACTTACCAGAACAGCTACACCCATAGCTAAAGACTAAGTAGGCCACCTTAGCCCTCACAGTGTCTCTGCTCTTAACTCAAACACTAACCGTACTCAAACAGACAAAACCGCAAGTGCTTATAGAAGTGAAGAGTGAATGCCACCCCTGTTGCTGACCATAAAGAAGTACCGTATGGGCAAACGGATGTTCATTACCTGTTTAAAAAAACCCTTTTGTATAATAAAAGAGTGACCTGGAAGAGCAGTAAAGGGTTGAAGGAGACACTGTGCAACACCTCCACATGGGGAATGTCTGGCCAAAGGTTGCATGCATGCTCAACATTTGTAAAACACAGGTGATGGTTCCTGATCAAACATCACAACACTTGCAGCAAGTCCGTATTGTGGATGGGTGGAAAAAAGGCTGAATTCCCTGTTTCTGTGTGCCAGCCACTTAGGATGTATCTTTTTTCTATGAAAAAAAAAACAACAAAAAACCCAAAACCACACTGTTGGCAACCTGGAATATATTTTCAGAAAGTGACAGGACTTTTCTGGTCAAAAGCACACAGGATGGGCAATTCAAGTCAGTTACTTGTGTGGACAGGTCTGGTGACATTTGTCTCCAGTGCCATTTGGTTTTCAGACCAACTTTCACTCTCCCCAGATTTCACAACTAGGGAGGCCCTGCAGACACACTAACACACATCATCACCCCTCCCTCATGTGCCACCAGCCTGACTCTCACTGCCAGAAAGGACTCAGCTACCAAAAACCTGCTCTACTGAAACAGTATAATCTAACATGCTTGCCAGTTTTATTTTGTTGGAATTTAACAGCAAGAGAATGGTGTTTGCTGGAAGTATATAATTCCCCATATGGCTCCAGGATGCAACCATGATTAGTAAAGAAGGTTGAATGAGTAAAGAAGTTGAAGTTTTGAATCAGTACTCTTTGGGATGAAGATTTTTTACAGCATGGATGTTTTAGGTGTGGCTGGGAAGGCAGGTTTCTACAGAAAAGAATAACACATGTACTTCCTTCCAAGCTCCCTGCAGATTATTTAACCTATCCAAGTCTTTTTGACCTGCCTACATTTAGTCAGTGCAGCTATGTAACGAATTTAGTTGCCCATTAATTTGTCCTGCGGTAGGTTGAAATGAATAGCTGCCAAGATTTGCTTTCTATCAGCATTTAAAGCCATAATTTGGTTAGCAATATATTGCCTCCAAGGTTTTCTTTTGTTCTAGTTCTTAACTATTTGCCCTACTTCCCAAACCACTTCAGATTACTTTAGATAATATCCTTCATTTAACTGCCTGGAAAACCTGACAGAAAGTGGAAGCAAGGACAAGTAGTTTGGAAGGATTACAGAGAAATTGTCTGAACAACCAGGGATCAGGTTAGGAAAGCTAAAGTCCTTGGATGGATGTTCACACTCAAAGAATTGTGGTCAAGGGCTTGATGTCCAAGTGGAGACCAGTCACAAATAGTGTTCCTCAGGGGGCTGTATTGTGACCAGTGCTGTTTAACATCTCTATCAATGACATGGACAGTGGGATTGAGTGCGCCCTCAGCAAGTTTGCCAAGGACACCAACCTGTGCGGTGCAGTTGACACGCTGGAGGGAAGGGATGCCATCCGGAGGGACCTTGACACGCTTGTGAGGTGAGCTTGTGCCTAACCTTCTGAAGTTCAACAAGGCCAATTACAAGGTCCTACACCTGGATTGGAGCAATCCCAGGCACAGCTACAGGTTGGGCAGAGAACAGATTGAGAGCAGCCCTGAGGAGAAACACCTGGAGATGCTGGTGGACAAAGAAGCTCAATATGACCTGGCAATGTGCGCTTGCAGTCCAAAAAGCCAACTGTATCGTGGGCTGCATCAAAAGATCGATTTTGAGATCGACTGGTGGAGTAACTCCCTGGTGTGCCAGTCGGAACGGTTCCAGGGAGATACCCCCCAAAAGGGGAAGGACCCCCTGCCTTCTCACGCAGAGGGGGATGGCCGGAGACACCCCCTGCCCTGTAGATGTTACGCAGAGGTAGGGGACCAAAAAGACGACGAGGGTTGGAAGCGAGTTCCAGTTTGGCATCGTGGGAAACCCTCCCCCCTTCCTGCCCTGCTTCCCCAGGTGTCCCTCCGTAATAGGTTCGAGGCCCTGGATCTTGAAGGAGAGGTAGGTGAGAATGTGGGGCAAGGCCAGCCCACAAGGCCACACAGGAAAAGGGGGTCGACTTCGCACCTCAAGACTGCCTCTGATAAGAAAGAAAGAAGGGTCATTGTAGTAGGGGATTCCCTTCTGAGAGGAACAGAGGGCCCGATATGCAGAGTTGATCCTCATCATAGGGAAGTGTGTAGTCTGCCTGGAGCCCGGATCAGGGATATCACCAGGGTGCTCCCCAGCCTGGTGTACCCGACAGACTACTGCCCGCTGCTGGTCTTCCAGACAGGTGGGGGGAAGCTGCTTCCTGCAGTAGGAGGGGGATGAAGAAAGACTACAGGGCCTTGGGGCAGATGGTGAAAGAGTCTGGGGCTCAAGTGATCTTCTCCTCACTCCTTCCATCTTCCACTGATGATGTGGGAAGGAATGGGAAGATTCAGTCCATAAACGATTGGCTTCGAGACTGGTGCTACAGGCAGGGCTTTGGATTCTTTGATAAGAGCTGGTTTTATAGGGCACCGGTCTGGACAATGACAAGTGGGAAAGGTTTGTCTCACAGAGGCAAAAGGATGCTGGGGCACGAATTAGCAGGGCTCATTTGGAGAGCTTTAAACTAGATTCGAAGGGGGATGGGGTTGTAGCTGGGCTTGCCCCAGTGGGGCAGCACTCCAGAATTAATGAAGACTGGGAGGCCTCCTATAATCCTCGGGTGAAATCGGTGTGCTCAGCTCGCTCCCTGGAATGTCTGTACACCAATGCGCGCAGCATGGGAAATAAGCAGGAGGAGTTGGAAACCTGTGTTAAGTCAGGAGATTATGATCTGGTGGCAATTACAGAGACGTGGTGGGACAGCTCACATGACTGGAATATAGTCATGTCCTCTTCAGGAAAGACAGGCCAGCCAGGAAGGGTGGTGGGGTTGCTCTTTATGTGCGAGAGCAACTACAATGCACTGAGTCCTGTCCAGGGACAGATGACGAGCAAGTTGAGAGTCTGTGGGTGAGAATTAAGGGGCAGGCTGGCAGGGGCGATACTGTTGTGGGTGTCTGTTACAGACCCAGACCACCAGATCAGGGTGAGGAAGTTGACGAGGCCTTCTACAAGCAGCTGAGAGCGGCCTCACAGTCACAGGCCGTGGTCGTCGTGGGGGATTTTAACTTCCCTGATGTTTGCTGGAAGGACCACTCAGCAACCCAGCCGCAGTCCAGGAGGTTCCTCCAGTGTATGGATGATAACTTCCTCCTGCAAATGGTGGATGAGCCAACCAGGAGAGGAGTGCTGCTGGATGTCATCCTCACTAACAAGGAGGATCTGGTTGAAGCAGTAAGGGTTGAGGGCTACCTTGGTTGCAGCGACCACGAGATGGTGGAATTCAGGATCTTGTGTGGTAGGACCAGTAGAATAGCAAGTAGAATTGCAACCCTGGACTTTAGCAGGGCAAACTTTGGCCTTTTCAAGCAATTGCTAGGGGTAATCCCATGGGCAAGGCTGCTTGAAGGTAAAGGGGCCCAAGATAGTTGGTTGCCATTCAAGGACTGCTTTTTCCGAGCTCAAGATCGGAGCATCCCGACACGTAGGAAGTCAAGGAAGAGGGCCAGGAGACCTGCGTGGCTAAATAGGGAATTGCTGGGTATGCTCAAGTGGAAGAGGAGAGTTTACAGGTCATGGAAGGAGGGGCTGGCCACCTGGGAGGAATATAAGGCTGCTGCTAGAGGATGTAGGAAGGCAGCTAGGAGGACTAAGGCCTCCTTAGAATT